TATGGGTGAAGGGTTGGATCCAGATGAATGGCTGAGAAGACTGGATGAACTTTCCATCCCGAAGGAATGAAAATGTCTGTCCCATAAATCAAATTCAATAGCTGCTGCTGCAAGTAATTATATTAAAAATTAGGATTATGAATTTTACCTTTGAATTTGACATCTTTAATGGCTTCTCTATGTAAGAATTTGACCACATTTCCACATCTCATGGCTTCATATATCACCTGTTTAAGAGTTATGAATGTAATTTTGGTTTAGAAGAAGAATGAAAAAGCACTTTAAAAAGCTCCCATAAGTTGTGTTTTTACATTGCATGTGAACTCCATTTGCTTGTAATCTTCTAAATTCAGATACTCTCCCTTCCCTTTACCATTTCTTATTCCTTCGTGTTCTTCCTGCATCATCATCATCATCATATTATCATCGTTTTAACGACTTCGTTAGATGCATGAGAATTTAGAATATATGTGTGAGATCCCACATCCATTGGAGAGGAGAACGAATCATTTTTTATAAGGGTGTGGAAATCACTCCCTAACATATGCGTTTTAAAAACTTTGAGTAGAAGCTCAAAAAGGAAAGCCCAAGAAGGACAATATGTGCGAGTAGTGAGTTTTGACTATTACAAATAGTATCAGAGCCAGACACCACCAGGCGCGATTTGTTAGTGAGGAGACTGAGACTTGAAAGGAGATGAACATGAGGCAGTGTGCCAACAAGGATGCTGGGCTCTCGAAGGGAGGTAGATTGGAGGGTCCCACATCGATTGAAGAAGGGAACAAGTGTCGACACTGAGCCTCGAAAAGAGGTGGATTGTGAGATCCTATATCGTTAAGGTTGTGGAAACCTCTCTCTAATATACGCGTTTTAAACGTCTTAAGAGGTATTATGGGAATATCTACTAACGGTGAGCTTAAACTGTTACAATATGTCACAACATTAGAATTGAACGATCGTATTCATGATTTTAGATACCTTTAACTTTGCAAGAACATGGGGAGGTGAATGTGCAAGAAAGTAGACAATCAATCCCATAAGAGTAGCTGTTGTCTCATATCCTCCAAGCAATATGTCCAACACAACGCTCACAGTCTCTTCCTCATCAAGCTTCCAATTTGACATTATCACGTCTAGAAAGTTCTCATGATCATCCCCTTCCTTTTCCACCCCTACCACTAATCCCTTCTTTTTCCTCTCTCTCATCATCTCTTTCACGATGCCCGAAAGCTTCGCTCGGGCCTGAATCATGTAGCAATTTTATACGGTTAGATGTAGGAATCAAAATTTAAAGAAGTATATTGGATGTAGAATAAAGAGATCGAGAACGACCTTAACAGCCTTATAGTATGGAGTTCCGAGGAGATTCAGAGGTAAAGAAACAAAGCCTTTCATATAAGTTTCGAACTCGTCCAATATTCTCGACCCAATCGACTCGTTCGCTTCAATGCCCAACAATTCTTTCACCATAACACTCAAAGCAAACTGTAATAAAAAGAATAATAATTCAAAATTTTGTAGAAAGATTCAATTTTTATGTCATAATTCATTTGAACTTTTTATTTATTTTTACCATTTTCACTTCTTTGCAGAAAAGCACACGAGTTTGGGATCTCCACGAGTCCATTAAGGAGACAGAGAGCTTGTCCACACAGTGAAGGAAAGTGGGGTTGGACTTGCACCAGCTGACAAAGCTAACGACGACGTTTCTGAGCTTCCGGTGGGTGTCTCCGGCGGCGATGATCAAAGAATTGCTGCCGAGAATGCCATGCATGGCCTTGGGATAACTCACTTTGAAAAGTTTGTCGTCGTTTTGAAGAATGAACATGTTAAGCTCTCGATCACATGACACTATCGCCCACGAACCAAATAGATGAGACTTGAAAACCTTCCCAAACCTATAAACCATGCCAATTAAGTAACTGCTCAAGCCAGCCAGTCGATATTGTCTTCTTTTTTGTTTTTTTATAATGTTTTAAAACTTGTTAGGGAGAGGTTTTCACGCGCTTATAAATAATGTTTCGTTCTCCTCCTCAATCGATCTTAGACGTCACAATTCACCCCAACTCTTTGGGGAAGGTTTCCACACTCTTATAAAGAATGTTTCGTTCTCCTCCCCAACCGACGTGGGATCTCACAATCCACCCCGACTCTTTGGACTTTCCCACAAGGTTTTAAAACGCAGGTTTCCACACCCTTATAAAGAATGCTTCGTTCTCCTCCTCAACCGTTATGGGATCTCACAATCTACCCCCTTTCGAGGCTAAGCCTCTTTGCTAGCACATCGTCTAGTATCTGGTTCTGATATCATTTGTAACAGCTCAAGCTCATCGCTAACATATATTTTCCTCCTTTAAAACGCATTTGCTAGAGAGGTTTCCACATTTTTATAAAGAATGTTTTGTTCTCCTCCTCAACCGGTATGGGATCTCACAATCCACTGCCTTTCTGGGCTCAGCCTCGTTGCTAGCACATCGTCCAGTGTCTGATTTTGATACCATTTGTAACAGCTCAACCTCACCGCTAACAAGTATTTTCCTCCTTAGACTTTCCCTTAAAGTTTTTAAAACGCATTTGTTAGAAAGGTTTCCACACGCTTATAAAGAATACTTCGTTCTCTTCCTAACCAACGTGGGATCTCGCACTGGAATTTACCTGGAACAGTGACGCTGGAGGAAGGTCCCAATGGAGTTAGAATGATGGGGCTTGAGAAAGCTGAGAGTCTCTCCAACGAAGGGGAAGCCCATGCAGCCAGGAGGCAAGCTAGGGCTTGGCGTTGCAGCTGCAAAGAGTTTCAGCAGCAACTGACAGAGGATGACTGCTGCCATGGCTAAGCTCAAAGCAATAGTAAGAGGGCTGAAACTTGCAGGAGCTTCCATGGCATATATGAACTGAGCTTAAGCCAATGGTTGGTCCCATTTCCCCCTCTCTTCTTTGCCTTCTTTATATAGAAAGCGAATCCCATTGTTTGAGTTTGTTTTTTACAACTTTATGTGCATGGCATTATTACTTATTCCACTAATAATATACATTTATTAAACATAAAATTTAACTACAAACATACTTTACCCCCTTCGAGGCCAACGTTCTCGCTGACACTCTTTCCTTTCTCCGATTGATGTGGGACCGCCCCCAAATCCACCCCCTTTAGGGCCAGCGTCCTTACTGGCACACCACCTCGTGTCTACCTCCCTTCGGGAAACAACGAGAAGGCTAGCACATCGTACGGTGTTTGGCTCTGATACCATTTGTAACGACTTAGATCCCACTGCTAGCCGGTATTGTCCTCTTTGGACTTCCCCTCAAGGCTTTAAAACGTGTCTGGTAGGGAAAGATTTTCACACTCTTATAAAGGGTGGTTTGTTCTCCTCCCCAACCAATGTGGGATATCACATGTTACGTAAATTGGTTCTAGCTAAGACTACTAGTAGTTTAGATAAGGCGCAACGCATGACTCCTAATTAAAATAAGCTATGACTCTCCAATAAGGACAACCTATACGGGCAACACAACAATCCAACTCTCAAGACAAAATCTATGGTCAGAACTCAGAAAGTGGCAGAAGATCGTCCAAAAACGAGTAGCTAAGACCCCAATCTAGAAAAAACGTCCAAAGAACAGGATAGAAAGAAAGATAAAGATAGTCAAAACATTCATATTTAAATTTTTTTTTTTTTGCGTCTAATAATCAATCACTTAATTTTTAAGTTTAAATATATATTTTTTAAATTCAAGAGAAGACATAAAATTAGAATTTAAGAAATAAATTTATAATTTAATCATTAATTAAAAAAGAAAAAAGAAAAAAAAAAGAATGAGTTGGATTTGCTTTTGGGGTGTGCGGTAGCTGACGTGGATGTTTCCATTTGGCAATCCGACACATGTGCATAATTAAAATCCTTCTTTTTAAGACAGCAAAGAAAGAGTCCTTTGGGCAACAAAAGAGGCTGAGTGGACAAAATACATGATGCACACGTGCCATGCTTATGGGACCCTCTCATATGTGTTCGGCCCGAGGTATGGGCTAGCTACATGGATCACGTACTCCTACTTTAGCTAAGTGATTAGGACTAACATATTCTTCCAACTTGAACCACAATAGCAAATGGCTCGATCCTTCCATCAAGCTAGAGACCTCACCATAACTAAGTGCATTGACTTATCATTTTAATGTCTTCACTGGTCCAAGTGATAGCTGGATATCCGTCTTTATTGCAATCATGGCTGATGTTTATATAGTGCATGTTACCAACAAATTTGTAGCCCTAATTAGGCTTAGGTTTAACATTCCCGACTCCAAAATTAATCATATGAGCCTAACCCTATGAATCTAATACCATGATTGTAGCCTTAACTAGAGTTAGACATATTGTCCCTTTGGTAGGGTAGTCCCATTATTATGGAAGAGAAACTCTTTTTAAAAATTTAAAATGTGTGACAGTATTTCTTGATGTTTTTGTTAATCATGATCGTATTGCACGTATGGAAGAAGAAACATGATTGCTCTTGTCTCTTCTTTTAGAATATAATCATATCATGCCGAAACTTTATTATTATTATTTTTCACTTTACGAATTTGGCTATTAATAATTGTTTTGTCCTCGTTTGGTTTAGGGCCTACACATTTATGATCACTAATTGTTTTCTTTTTTTAAATAGGAATGCGAATTTGAAGACAGCTAAAAATTAAAAACTCTTTTATCTTCGTCGTGGATAAGAATTATTTTGTTCCCTTTCGATTATAATGATGAACCATTATTTTTTATTTTTATTTATCATATTTTTATAATTTTATAATAAGATGATTAAATTTTGATCTTATGAAAAAAAGTATAAATGTCTTAAGTACTTAATATAATTAATTATATTGGCTGTCTTAATTTATTTAAAAAGATTTTGGGCCAGATTTTCCAACTTCGGAGTGTATGAAACTAGATCAGATGGGCATGAACACAAAAGGAGATTTTGGGCCAGATTTTTGGCCCATTTCCAATTCTCTCATATTTACCCAGAAATTCCATTTGGGTATTTTCCAAACACAATTTTACAAATTGGGTCGCCGGCATCTGAGGCGGATGAAGTGGGTCGGATAATTCTGGGTTGATTTGGTCTGACACTTTGATGAACAAGAAGAACAAGAGGAAGAACAAGAGGAAGAACACGTTGAACAAGCACAAGAAACTGAGGAAGCAGCTTTGACGACAGATTTGGATGCTTTACTCGGTGAGATTTTAAAGTTTTTGAGGGATTATGCTATTGAATTGATCTTTATGGTTTGCCTTATGTTATCATTGGAACTAAGAATGATCATTCTCCTCTTTCATGGGAACTATGGTGGAAACATTGTTCGTTCTGAGTAGTAATGGCACTGCACTGAGTTTTGCAGTTTATTCATTTCCAGACTAGTTTTCTTGGGTGATATCGATATCTTTTATTACATATGGATACAATCAGTTTATGCATTTCACCCTTTGTTCTTAAGAAGGATAATAAGGTTTAAATAAGGTTTCCTCACCCAACAAATTCATTCTCAAAGGCATAGTCCTACTTGTGCCATCTCCACTCCTGAATCTGTCTATAACCCCTTTGTAATTGATTACCCTTCTGAAGATTCTTGGATATTTCTCCATTAATCAAGCCAAAATTTGATTCTTGTTCTAGTTCATAGTTCGAAGTTTCTATAGTACTTGGTAATAAAGGAACGAAGGGGTTTAACTATCTTGTTGTGTTGTCAACTTAAACACAGATCAACTGATCAAGATGTATATTCTCGATCAAGGGGTCAAAATTTTCAATCCTTCACTTTCCATGTTCTTGAACTCAAAAAATTTCATGTTTGAAGAATTTTTGCCGGAGTTTTTTTATAGCCTGGTTTTGTCCACTTTCTCTTAATTCAACGGTTTCCTATAAAATAGAAAAACCTGTTATGAAGTTCATTTCATGTTTGAAGAACTTAGATTGAGAGTTATGTCCTCAAGTTAATGTCCAGAATGTTTCACCTTCTAAATTAGAGGACAATCAGTGGCTTTGGATGAATAAAATGTGTTTAGTTCTTATGAAGCTGTCGATGTATACATAGTTATTGATCCAGTGGTTCCTCTAGTTTAGGGTTCGAGAAATGGTACAGTTTTCAAGACTTCCAGATTTTGTACCTTTAACCGCCCAAGTCCACTCTAGCAGATATTGTCTTCCTTGGGCATTTCCTTCTAGGCTTCTCCTCAATGTTTTAAAATGAATCTACTAAGGAGAGGTTTCCACACTCTTATAAAGAATGCTTCCCCTCTCCAATCGATAGATTTTCTCATAATCCACCTCCCTTGGGGTCAGCATTCTTGCTGGCACACCGCCTGATGATTGGCTTTGATACCATTTGTAATCGCTTAAGTTCCTTGGTCTTTCCCTTCAAGGTTTTAAAATGCGTCTATTTGGGAAAGGTTTCCACACCTTTATAATGAATGCTTCCTCTCTCAGACCGACGTGGGATCACATAGACTAAGTTTCTGATTTTTGGAGTGAGAGTACATTTGCGTGGAATTTCACTTGCACTTAATCCCCTTACGACAGAGATTGAGGAGCTGATCAATTTCCTTATTTTGAAAAATCAAAACTCAGAAATCCAGTGATCATTAGCTCATTTTATTGTTCTTAACTTTGATAATGGGGACCAACCTGTGTTTCTAGAATTTCATATTGGCAGTATATCTGGCGTTACTGAAATGACATCATCTTTGACCAAGCATGTCTTTTATCTAGCCCTTTACCCCTTGTATTCCATGAGGATATCTTCATGGACAGAACAAGCCCTATCTTTCAATGTACAAATAAAAGGTTCTCAGCTCTCCATTTCCGATTTTTTCTTAACGATTCGGCCTCAATGTGTTCTAAGGAGGTGCGAGCAGTAAGCCGAGGAATAAGAAAGCTTTTCAAGACCACAAAAACAACAAGATCTACCACAATAAAAAAAAATTAAAATAACAGAACTTTTGTTGAACTGAAGGCCTTTATCCACTTTCCATTCTACATTCTTATTACACTGCAAGCAGGAAATATCTTATTAGATTATTTATCAGTAAATGGTTCGGTTTAAATGGATGCTTCATTATTTTCTTGCTTCTAATTCTTGTCCTTCTATTTGGTCTCTTATGGCTTGGCTGATATAATTATATGTTGAACTTTTGATGTGGGGTCCTGGCTGCCTGGCATATCACATCTATCATTGGGAGATCCATGTGATTAGCTTGACTAAAGAAATTGATGGCCAATGAAATCTGCTATTAAATCTTTTGTTGGCCTTTTCTCGTTGGCTACTTTTTTTTTCTTTTTATGATTGTGAATTGTGATTAACATGGTTCAAAGTATCGCGATATTGATGATGAACACGGTTATTTGATCATAGTTAGTGATAATCATAGTCGTGTGTCTTACACGAGAGTAATGATAAAAGAGGGCTGAATGCACCTTATGTATTCCATCTAGTAATGATAAGAGGCCAGAATGTTGTTTCTTTAGGAAAGAACAGAGAACTCCTTCATTTTCCTCCTTCCTAATTGAGAATAGGAATTCAAAACTCATTGGAAAGAGTGACTCAATCCAAAAGAACAAGCTAGCTTAGAAGGAACCAATTGAAATCCGGGTTGGTTCAAAATTGTTAACTTGAGCATAGGTCAACTCGTCAAGATCATATATATCGACCAAGAGCTGACTACACATGCTTATGAACTCAAAATATATAGCTAAGAAATCCAGGCTTTTATTAACGGAAATCCCATGGAAAGAACCTAGGAAAGTGACCAAAAAAGGGTCTCTATTGGTTAGGATAAGAAAGGAGGATAATTACAAAACCTTTTATGATGAAAATATGGGTTGAACCATTATTGGATATAAGTCTTCTTAATCTCTTGCTTTTGGATTTAAGTGTTTGTGTCTTATACCTCCTATAATGGATTTACATCAAGGATCAACATTCACCGCCATTTCAATGTAGGAAATAAGATACCTATGAGATCTGTAAGTTGGGTTGAAAACAGTTTAATGTATGTTTGTGGCTCCTTTTTCTACTTTTTTGCTAAATTTTCTATTCACATGTTCGATGTCGATGTCGATGTCGATGTTGATACTAAAAATACAGAAAAATGTAGATCTTATGACACTATTATTGTAATGATTCATATCCACGGCTAGTAGATATTGTCTTCTTTAGGCATCCCCTTCCCCTCAAGGCTTTAAAACGCGTCTGCTAGAGAAAGGTTTTCATGCCGGTCTTTTGTTCTCCTTCCCAACCAATATGGGACATCAATTATTTTGCCATCGAGATGGGTAAAGTAGCATAATTATTTGTTTAATGTTTTAATTAATGGGTGTGACAAAATTAAAAATTTTAAAAATAAAAGTAATGATAAGAGACCTCCAAAAGGAATAATAATGATAATAATAAAAGGATTAGATAGGAAAATTGATAGATAAATATAGGGTTCTAAGCTGAAGCATACAACGATCTCTTACAACCTAACAATGGCCACTTTCAGGTTCAGCTCTCTCTCTCTCTAAGAATGCCATGATTGACACACTATATAATTTCAGTGAAGATGAGGAAGAAGTAAACCATTTTCTTCTTTTGTATTGTCCACGCCAGGCCTCTCAGGTCCACTGGTCACGCTCTCTTCTCTGACCCACCATCATCACAGACGCCATTAAACCTCTCTCTCTCTCTCTCTCTCTCTCTCTCTCTCTCTCTCTCTCTCTCTTCCATTTATGTGCCTGTTACCCACCGCTACAATCTCTCTGTTCTTCTCTTTTTTCCTCACCGAATGTTTGTAAACCAATCCCAACTCTCGAATTTTCTGGAATGTCGATCTCTTACTGTTAATTTTGCGCCGTTAGACCAAAGGGTTTTGTTGAATTTCTTGCTCGTTCTTCTTTTGGGTTTTTAATTTGGGGTTTCTTCAAATGATGGGTTGTTGGTTCGCTTAATCGGGGTTAGATTCGTTCACAGTGGCGGACCGAGAAGATGGGTGGTGTTACTTCGTCCATGGCGGCGAAACTCGCTTTTTTCCCACCGAATCCGCCTTCGTACAAACTTGTTACCGATGAATATACCGGTCTTTTGCTTCTAAGCCCTTTTCCTCATCGTGAAAATGTTGAGATTCTTAAGCTGCCCACTCGTCGTGGTACTGAGATTGTTGCTGTCTTCATTCGCTACCCTATGGCCACCTCGACGTTGCTTTACTCTCATGGAAACGCCGCTGATCTGGGCCAGATGTACGAGCTTTTCATTGAATTGAGCATTCACCTTCGTGTTAACATCATGGGGTATTGCTCTGTTCTCTTCTGATTTTCGGTGCTTTCCTTTGTTTTTGCGGTCAACTTCTGCATATGGATCGTCTGAATTTACCAGATTTCATGAGGAATTCGGGACTTAACTGTGATTGTGTCTGATAGCAGGTTCATGAATGCCAATTATAGTCAGTCTAGGTTTAGTTCAGTTCTTACATCATCATCCAAACTATTAGTGGTAAAATTTAACTCTTGAATGAATTTGGCGCTGGAAATCTTATCTGATCCATAGACTGATGATTCTTCGATTGAATAAGGACTGTGCTAGCTAGAGAATTTGAGCTGATATTATCATCAGAACTCATAGAATATTGAGAGTTAATGAATCCTTATTAGCATCAAGCTTTCTATATTGCTCGATAATAAATCTCATTTCATCAATGATTCTCCTTCTTCCCCTGAATTGATTTGCAAGGTCTGTGATCGTTCCCCTGTCAAAATCGAGACTTACGCTGCACTTTAATTGCTCGTCCATGAAATGGTTTATTACTTATAAAAAAAAGTTGTAGCATTCTAATAAGGAAATGGTTGTGCAGGTATGACTATTCAGGGTATGGCCAATCAACTGGAAAGGTGTGTTTGTCATAAGCGATTTAGATTGAATTGAAATTGCTTGTGATGTTCGTATCGATCCTAATCCAAGATTCAACGTCTGTTCTACATTGCAGCCAAGTGAGCAGAATACATATGCAGATATTGAAGCTGTATACAAGTGTCTTGAAGAAAGTTATGGTACTAAGCAGGAAGATATCATCCTGTATGGCCAATCAGTTGGAAGTGGCCCCACTTTGGATCTTGCAGCTCGGCTGCCTCTTTTAAGAGCTGTAATTCTTCATAGTCCTATACTCTCTGGTTTAAGAGTCATGTATCCAGTGAAGCGTTCATACTGGTTCGACATTTATAAGGTAAAATAACCCTTTTTGTTTCTACTGTGATAGATTTATTTTCTTTATATGCATCATTCACATGCTGTATTTGTTGTTTTCTTTCTGTGCAGAATATTGACAAAATTCCTTTGGTTGATTGTCCTGTTCTTATCATCCACGTAAGAATTCCCTGTTGCATATTTTTCGATTGTCGTCTTACCATGATAAACTAATGTGCATGTACCGATTGAAATTGCTGTCCATAAATCCATGACTTTTAAAGAAACCGAACCTTTCTATGCCCCTTTATACAAGGGAAATCAGAGGAAGGAAGTTTTGAAAAAATAGAATTGTCCAATCATGTGGTTGATTGCTTGAATGGTTGCTCACTTGAGAACTATAGTCTTAATTGGTCATATGGGTCTCTTTTACCAGGGAACTTCAGATGATGTGGTTGATTGCTCACATGGTAAGCAACTCTGGGAATTATGCAAAGAAAAGTATGAACCACTGTGGATTAAAGGAGGAAACCACTGTGATCTGGAGCTCTATCCCGAGTATATTAAGCACCTGAAAAAGTTCATATCAACGGTGGAGAAATCCCCATCCCAGAGATACAGTTCCAGGAAGAGCACAGACCAGTTAGAGAAACCTCGAAGGAGTGTTGACTTTTTCGAAGTTTCGAGGAAGAGCACAGATAGGCGAGAGAAACCAAGGCAAAGCACTGATAGGCATGAAAAAAAGAAGAGCCAGTATGGTAATACAGATAAATTAGAAAAAACGAGAATGTCAGTTGACCATAAAGAAAGGTCACGCAAGAGCGTCGATTGTCACGAGAAGTCTAGAAAAAGTGTTGATCATCAGTTTGAACGAGCAAGAAAGAGTGTTGAACGACTTGACAGAATACACACAGGATAATTGTTGGGTATAGCAAAATTGTTTCTAAGGAACGGGAGTGGGATTGTAAGAATTTCACAGATCTTTTTTATGTTCTATGTATTAACTTATGGTCCTTTTGATGTGTAGTTTACCTTCTGAAATGTTTGAATTAACTATCATGAAATGAGAAAAGGACATGGTGTCCTGTTTGTTCTTGTTTCCATTACCAATCTCCATACCTTCTCAGTGTCAATGCAATATTGAATGGAAACTAATCAATATTATCAGGAAACACATTTCAATCTCTCAAATGCTCTGTTTTCAATCTCTCAAATGCTCTGTTCTAACCAACCTGCCATTCGTTTTACTTCTAAAGATCAAGCAAAGTTCAGTCAGATATTGACCCAATACTCAAATTTCTTCAATGTACAAAAACGATGCAACTACCTTCATGAACACACTACATCTGAAATAGGCGAGAGCCAGTCTTGTTAAAACTACTGAGCTTGGCCATTAATAACAGAGAAGTTGGGTCTGCGCTCGCTGTATTCGACGATGGCTGATGGTGAAAGATGACCGATACAGATCTCGTGGACTGATGCAAACAATGGAAACAGCTCGAGCCACCCACGGTGACTTAAAACCTCGTACATCTCCTTTGCTGTGGAGACACCCTTCAAAATGTAAAATGAGCTGTTAGGAGAAACTACAACAACTTTACTTGATAAGTAACTAGAATGTTTATACATGCCTGCATCACTGGTTTTTAGGATGAACACAATCTAATATTTGTTTATCAGGGAATTGGTGAATATTTAAGCAAGAAACAAGCATCTTGCTTCCCCCATATCTAAATGAAAATCATTAAGAACGAAGCTCAACTAGTTCAACTCTATATCCTTGACTAAGATGTCAGATATTCAAATTCTCTCTCACCCCACAAACAAAGACATTAACTATTCAACCTCATCCAACCCGAGGTTCAAATCCCCTCCACCACGTATTGAATTCAAAACTAAAAGGAAAAAAAGGGTAACGATTCATTTACGAAAACTACGAGTTAATCATGTCATTGGGAAATAGAAACCTGCAATTTTTGGCCCTGCAGCATCTCTGCTTCAAGTTCATCAAAAGACCTACATGGGAGAAGGTAAAATCATATACAGCAACAATGTTACGTAGCATCCATATAAAAAATCCATGTTTCAGGGTAGCAATATTAACCTCTTCCCTCCATGCTTTGCAAAAGCGGCTGCTACCTTCCTGTTTCTTCCTCCCACTGCCAAATACAAATTGGTTCTACTCAGACAGTGAAAGAAAGTAAAGAAGAAGCACAAAAGAATGAAGAATTTATCCTTACAGCACGTTGTAATCAGATCAGCAACTCCACAACTCTCAAAGAAAGTACTGTCCCTAACAGATGAAAACAGAAGCTTGGAGATCATCCTCATCTCTCTCAGACCGATTCTCATTATCGCAGCCTACCGAATCAAATCAAAATAGTCTGAGATAAAGAAGACATGTAATCTACCTTTTGAATGTTTAGAACTAAGTTTTGTACCTTTGTGTTATTTCCCATCTCCAAACCATCAACAAAACCTGTGATGTCAAATTGTTTAAAGACTGTTCTTCATTGAAAGCAGAAGAAAAGAAGCGAATTGATAAAGATTTATGAGTAACCTGCTGCTAATGCCACAACGTTTTTAAGGGTTCCACACATTTCAACTCCTTCAACGTCTTGGACCTTTCAATATTTCACAATTAGAAAGGTAATAAGAAACCCTTTCACCAGTCAATTTGAAATAGCTATGATTAATGCAAAAAATCAATCACAACGACTAAAACAGTGTAACAACCCAAGCCCACCGCTAGAAGATATTGTCCTTTTTAAACTTTTCCTTTCGGAGTTTCCCTTAAGGTTTTTAAAACGTGTCTACTAGGGAAAGATTTTCACATCCTTATAAGGAATGCTCCGTTCCCCTCTCCAACCGATGTGGGATCTCACAAATAGTTTAAATGCAAAATTTAGAGACGAAAAATACAAAATTCAAAGACTTGAGTAGGAGTTAAACCAAGTTTTACACATAATTTGTGAGTGATATATCAGTATTGAACAGAATCAAACTCTTCATAATTGGGATTGACAGAGATTGCTTAAATAATATACATGAGATCATGAACTGTACTCACAGGTGAAACAACAAAATAGGGAGTACTGAAAAGTTGAACCCATTTTTCAGCAATCTCTCTCATGTTCTCCCTGTATCCCACCGTTGCTTCACTAAACTTCTCTACAGCAATCTACATGAACAGTTCAACAATCTTGAAACAAAACGAAATAAAACATAACTGAACTTTAAAATCAAGCAAAATTAGGACAAAAGCTTCTAAAGATTACTTGTTTATCAACCTGAAAACAGAGTCATGAACAGTTTGCATAATCTTAATACATATGAACATACATAACAAATTGTCATACAAGGGTTTAAATCTGTAAATGTAACCTCGTTTGCTATGTTAGCGCCCATTAGAACGCAACAATTGATACCCAATTCCTGGGAGATGAGGGAAGAAATCATGCATGGACCTTCCTTCTTCATCTCCATCCCCTTAATGAGGGAAATAGCTTCCACTTCTTTCCTTATCTTTCCCACAAGTCTCTTGCATATCCCCTCCACAAATTGGTGGGGTGTCACAAACACCAACATATTAGCATCCTTCACTGATAATTCAACCCATTAGACTATGCTAAGTGAGAAAGATTTGAATGAGATCAACAAAAAAATCAGAAGAACTTCAATGGATACCTGCATTTTCAAGGTCTGGATCTGCAATAACATTCTTGCCAAGCTTTATACCAGGGAGATACTTAACATTCTCCTGTTAATTAAGATTCAAGAATCACTAATATATAACGCTCTAAATTTCCTAACACGGAAATGGGTCGTAATTAATCAATAGAACATTACATTGTTGAGATTGATAACATCAGTTAACTTCTCACCAGTAGGCAAAGTTTCCTCAAACACCCACATTCGAACCTCATCTGAAATCCAATAAACTCAAGAAAACGGATATCAAAATGCAACGAAAATGGCGCAAATCGAAATCCAGTAGCATAACAAACAAATCCCATGTTTCAGAATTTGAAGAACATACCATGGAAGGAACTCAGCCTAGCCGCATTAGAGGCGATGAGTTTAGCCGCAACACTGCCCCAATTTCCACTTCCAACGATGGTAACTTTGGATTTTCGAGAAACCCCATCATCGGAGAAATGGGAATCGGGACGAACAGAGCCCCCATTGCTAGAACGCGGTGGAGCTTCGATCCCGGGAGCCATGGAAGAAATGGGAGGGAGAGAATGGAGAAAAGAGGAAAGAAAATGGGAAGGAGCAGTGGAGAGAAGTAGAAGGGAAGAGGAAGAAGAAATAGAATATAAAGAGAAATTGAGAGAGCGGAGAAGCCATACACGTTTCGTGAGAAACAAAGCGCATCCGTGCATTTTGTTAAATCTGGCGATCCAAACTAAGGTCTGCTATATTTCATGGAGTTCATTTATTCATTGTTTTTTACATATTGTTCTCGAATTTTCAGAAACGAAACGCATAATCATTGTATTAAGCTCCAATGTCAGATAATTGCAACATTTTTTGGGTCTGAAAGTGAGGAAGATATGATATCATTTTGATTCAAAATCTAAAAATGGAAAGCTTCATGGAGATGGGTATTATCTGGATTCCCGGAGATACCCATAACCAAAATTAAATCTTTGGGCTCTTCCAAAAATGGCGTGATTACAAAATAATGATGGGTATTAGAAATGGGTTCAGAATAAAGCACACACGTTGGTCAGTTATTCCAAGGTAACTTTTTTAGCACCTGGTTCATCGGCTCTTTCGAATTACTTTTACAAATATAATGCTTCAAATACTTGTTATTTAATTATCTAAAACTTCGATATTAAGAAATTGCAAAAAAAAAAAAAAAAAAAAAAAAAAAAAACCCTTCTTGTAACTTTTGTTATTTTATGATCAAATTGTGTAGGAAAAATTTTAAAATTTGAAGTTAGATAATTTAGGTAGGAAGGGGTTGTTTTTATTTTTATCTAAAAGGATGAAAGTGTGACAAAAAAAAAAAAATATATTACACGGATGTTTGGTCCACCAACACTCCCAATTTAGCTCACATACTTTATTATATATAATGATGTGTTAACCTCTCCGCTGATGGCAATACATAATGAGCCAAAGCCAATAATATCTACTACTAGCAGTGGACATAGACGGTTACAATAACTTCATTATATTAGTTTTAACCACTCTTCTACCCCACAAGTTCGACAGTGTTCACAATTGAAGTTTGCATATTTATCGAATGATCCCATCATCTTATCTTTTCCACTCTCCATCTACCTCTCCCTCCCTCCCTTTTAATGATATTAGCATAAAATCGAGATCTCAATATTTCTATCGATATCCAATGAGGAACATCAGTGTTACCTGGCATTCTTTGGTAGTATTGGGAGCACAAGAACAGATATCTATCGTTGTCCTTGTGGGTCTTTTCAAACACCATACCCTTATTCCACTTGCCATTGCCATTGCCATTGCCACTAAGGATGAAAGACACAAGAGCAACAAGATTTAATGGGAGGGGACCTTAAAACTATGCTGTCTTCCAACTATCTTCATCTCATCCATACAATGGTTAAAATGAATAAGAGAATACTGTTTTCACACGGACATAGCTAACCAATTAATATGGGAATTTAGAAGTATTACACAATAAGGTTATCAATATGAAAAGGGTATTGGAACAGATGCAAGCAAAAAATGAGAATGTCTATATCCGAATAAAATCATCGATCGTTCGTGTAATTGATCGAACTGCTCGTGACAATGAACTTACTCTATAGTTTATGGAATCCAAATTTTGGGCAAAATAACCTGTTTCTCTTTTGGGCACAGCACCATTAAAATAGGAGCAGTGACTGCTTTGTTCTCTGTAGAGGACATTACAATGTTCCATTTGTTCAGGGAGCTCTATCAAATGGTTGTGTATCATTGTAACAAACATCCCAGACAGATTCCATGGCATCCCTTGCAGCGGCTTCCGAGCAATAAGGATTAGCAATCACTGATTTCATCACTCTTCTTCTCACACACTCCTTCACAAATTGAGAAAAGAATGTCAACAAATAGCGAACCTAAAGAGCCCAACAGAAATGCACCAAGAAGAAAAAGAATCCGAGCGAGAGTAGGGTAATAATATTGTTGGCAAAAAGAATATGAAATGCTGGTTTGTATCATATCACACATGCACATGTTGTTCAATCATTAGTGCATCGCCTTCAATCATATCCTCACCGACATCTACATCCTTCAATTATATCCTCACCGACATCTACATCCTTCAATCATATCCTCACCGACATCTACATCGAGAAGAGTTTTTTGTTTTCCTAGGACTGTGAGAAAAGTTACAATGGCCCCCAATTGCAGCCATCCATTCAGGGTTGAACAAACCTAGATCTCTTAGAAATATTGGCCAGCCATTCATTCAGCCATTCATTCAAGATTAGAGCCTTCCTAAAATGTTCTGCTAATATTATGTTTCTTTCATGAAGAACTTTTACTCTCACTGCTCACGTATAAGCTAGTTTAGCAAAGGGCTAAGGGAAAAGCAAATTCTTAAGCACAAAAAAATCCATTGCCAAGAGCGATTATCAGCGAAAAGTTACAAGAAAGAATGGTTAAATCAACTATATTCATGGCCAAGATCAGCTTCAAGTTGACATGAGCATACACAGAGATTTTAGATTCTATCATGAAAAAATTTCTTTAACGTAACACAATAACTTGGGACATGTTAAGTTGTTAATCATATAACTAATCTATCAGTAGAGAGCACTAAAACTTTTCAACTGTCCTGTGGTTCATGTTCATTAGTCCTTGATCCGCTGAGAATATATAATTACTCTAAGCACACTTCATGGATGTTTTTCACCATTTTAAGCAAGAGGCTATGAACAATGTCAGAAATTCAAAAATCTCAAACATGAAGGATGAAACTTATACTCATTTTTAGATGCCAACAAGAGAATTAAACTACAATTTTCTAGAAATCATACTTGCTCGTGTCCTCGTAATTTGACAAAACCTCGCAGTAGTTCTCGTTTATAGTGGCAATCACCACTTAGATGACCAGCTCGAATCTAAATTCCAAATACATGTGTTAGAGAATTACCAGAAGGAAAACTAGAGACCAGAACAGAAGAAACTCAATCTGGGAAAAAATGGCTATTTGCAGATTCATACCTCACTGCAAGCATGATGTGCACAATTAGCCCAATCCAAGTTTGCCGCACGACAATCATCAAAAGCATGAATAAGCTCATGAATTACAACTTGGTTAACCTCATCTTGAATGTTCATATGATTCCTACACACCATTATCTACAAGCAAGAAAGTAGACACAATAAATAAATCAGTCTTCAACATTCTCATCCAGATCCAAATTCATCAATAAACCATAAGCAGAAACAAAGAGAGGAAAGTATAATGAGTATTACCCCTTCACCACGAACATAGCCACCACTGATCTGCTTATCGCAATGAACAGCCTTAATAAACTTATCCCCAATCCCACATCCAGATTTCTCCAAATGCTCCATCAAGAATTTCACCATCGGAGCTGAGAGACACAGAAATAGAATCATTGACCCATTTGAGACGCAGAGAACGGTTAAGAAGGTACGAGAAAAACAAAAGAAAGCTCTAATTTTCAAATTCTCAGCAAATAAACAAAAGTCGCAAAACCCTAAACCCTGCAATTTTATACGCGGGTTCCAAATTTTGAGGAGACGAGTAGAACAGGAAATAAATGATTTGTTTGTTGTTCATACTTCGGAGACTTCTTCGAATCATATCCTCGCATTCTTCCTTCGTCCGGCCGCCGTTGACCGCAGAATACAAGCGATTCGATCCAGGTTCCGGGGTGGATTCTTCCGCCATTCTTAGTTTCAAGTGTCAAACACGGCGTCGCTGCAGCACTATCTCCAAGCGGATTTCGGGGTTTTGTATGAACAACGGTTCGCATTTTTGGTTCTTCATTTAACTCGAACCAGGAAAAACCGGGTTCAATTAAAAAATCATAAAGCCACGATCAAAATTGATATGTCTAGAACTAAAAATTGATGTGTTTTAGGGGTTTTGTATGAACAACGGTTCGCATTTTTGGTTCTTCATTGAACTCGAACCAGGAAAAACCGGGTTCAATTAAAAAAATCATAAAGCCACGATCAAAATTGATATGTCTAGAACTAAAAATTGATGTGTCTAGAACTAAAAATGGATGTGTTTTCACGGTTCGCATTTTTTGTTCTTCATTGAACTCGAACCAGGAAAAATCGGGTTCAATTAAAGAAATCATAAAGCCACGATCAAAATTGATATGTCTAGAACTAAAAATTGATGTATTTAGAACTAAAAATTGACGTGTCTAGAATTAAAAATTGATGTGTTTTCGTAGTTTTGTATGAACAACGGTTCGCATTTTTGATTCTTCATTGAACTTGAACCAGGAAAAATCGGGTTCAATTAAAGAAATCATAAAGCCACGATCAAAATTGATATGTTTAGAATTAAAAATTGATGTGTCTCGAACTAAAAATTGATTTTTTTAAATTAAACAAATTTCCCTCTCCCGCCATGGTAGGGAAGAGATCCCAACTGAAAATGGCGAAATCCGGCAAATCCGGCGAGCCTCTGAACCTAAAACTGAATCCTCCGCCGTTGGGCACTGAAGTCCTTCAAATACTCTTCCCCTTCCCTCCTTCAAACTCATTCTCTGGTGTTGCAGTCTTTCTCTATATACCTTACAGAGGATTTCTGCGACCTTCAGAATCCTATTTAAATAAAACTTCCTCTCTTTTTCTCTTCGATTCTCCTCATCTCTTTGCCGCTTCAGCATTAATGGCCCGCCAACTGCTTCTCCTCGCTCTTCTCTTCGCCGCCGTCCTCGGCATTGCCTCTGCTGCCAAGGCCCCAGCCCCTGACGCCGACTCTGCCGCAGCCAAGACCCCGGCTGCTGCTCCATCCAACTCTTCCTCCGCTGCCGATGCACCCAAAGGGGCTGCTTCTGCCCCCAAGGCCGAAGCCGATGCTCCCGAGGCCGATGCCGGAGCTCCAAAGGCCGATGCCGGAGCCCCAAAGGCAGAAGCCGGTGCTCCCGAGGCCGATGCCGGAGCCCCAAAGGCAGAAGCCGGTGCTCCCGAGGCCGATGCCGGAGCCCCAAAGGCAGAAGCCGGTGCTCCCGAGGCCGATGCCGAAGCCCCGAAGGCAGAAGCCGGAGCCCCCGAGGCCGATGCCGGAGCCCCTAGTGCTGATGCCCCTGCCGGTAGCCCTGCATCCGGGCCGGCCAGCGATGAGTCTCCCTCCGCAGCCCCTGAATCCGATGCAGAGGCGTCATCTCCACCTTCCCCAAGCGGACCTGCGGAAGGACCAGCCAGCGAGGAGGAAGCTGCAGATGCACCGGCCCCTGATGCTTCTGGCAGTGGATCTTCGTTCCTGAAGATGTCTGCTACCACGGTTGCGACCATTGCTGGAGTCATTGTGTTCTAAATTCTTTTTAATGTAATGAGATGAGGTGGAATTAAGAGACTATGATTCTATTATTTATTATTATTTTACATTTAAATCATTAAATAATTAATCTAAACATGAATATAGACAAAATAATATTAAAAATATTGAAATTAATAACTAACCATTTCACTTTTTTTTTTTCTTTATATAAAAATAATTTAGAAACTGAAAAAAAATTAATGCTTAATTGTAACAATTTTTTTATAAATATTTTTAGTCAAAAAAATAATAATAAAATTTACCAACTTTTTTTTACCTTATTTTCAAATGTAAAAAAATGTTCAAAGGAGTCGAGCCTCGATTAATGGTATGATAGGTGTTGGATGATGAAAGTCACACATCGGCTAATTTAGGGAATAATCATGATTTTGTAAGTGAAGAATACTAACTCGATTGATATGAGGCCTTTTGGGGAAGCCCAAAACAAAACCAGAAGAGCTTATGTTCAAAGTGGACAATATCATACATAAGCTCAAAGTGAACAATATCATACCATTGTAGAGAGTTGTGTTTGTCTTGTTGGATGATGAAAGTAATACTCTCTCTATTGGTATGAGGCTTTTTGGGGAAGCCCAAAGTAAAGCCATGAGTGATTATGTTCAAAGTGGACAATATCATACCATTGTGGAGAGTCATGTTCGTCTAACATGGTATCAGAGTCATATCCTAAAATGGCTAAGACTCCAAATGAGTCGAGCCTCGATTAAGGGGAGGCGTGCTTTGGATGATGAAAGTCCGACATCGGCTAATTTAGGGAATGATCATAGATTTATAAACAAATAATACAAGCAAATAATACTCTCTCCATTGGTACGAGACCTTTTGGGGAACAAAGCAAAGCCATGAACAAACTCCAAACACAGTTAATTACAGTCACAGTTAATTAAACAATTAATTTAATGAAGCCCATGAGTTAGATAGACCTAATTTGTGGTATATTGATTTGAAAGTCAACAAACTCCAAACATTACATTTAGAACTCTAAGTCCTAATTTTGGTTTTCCTAATTCAACCTACCTAAACCGTAATTCATTAGAAAAAAACTCCCATCAAACTATACTATAACCATAATAATTCAAACTATATTATATCGATGGTACATTTTTTAAATATTGAACCAAATTCAAATACAAAAATAAATTATTTTTAGAACATCTCATATTTGTCAACCATATTATGACATTTTTCTCCATTCTCCCATACGTTTTAAGCAAGTTGACAGACTTCAAAACCCTAAAACAGTTGCAGAATGGGAGGTTTGGTGTGAATCCAAAGCCAAAAATTCTCGACTTGATGGCTCAAAACCCCTCGAAAGTCACCCAAGGAAAAAAGGGTGGAGCTTAATTTGATCCAAAACGTTAATAATAACATAAAAATTTGACCTTTTTAAACTAGAGAGAGAGGGAGGGAGGAGAGAGAAGGACAGAAAGTCGAAAGAATTTGACTTGAGAGGTTTGAAGAGATGATTGAAAACCTGAAATTACGATCATGTTTGCGACCCCACTTGGGTGTAATCTATGGTACAATCACGCCTCTACTGACGGCTTTATATTTCTATATAATGCTACTCATCCCATTTTGGCTAAACCCACCACTTCTTCTTCTTCTTCTTCTTCTTCTTCTTCTTCTTCGATTTGTTCTCCAATGGCGGCTTCCTTTTTCTTTTTGCTTCTCTTACCACTCTCTTTCTTCTTCACTGATTCCTCCTTGGCTTCTGTTCAAGATCCTCATCTTGTCGTTCAAGAAGTTCAAAGGTATACATTTTTTGTTTTTGTTTTTCGTTTCTTGTTTATGGTTCAGTTTTGTGGAAGATTTGGACCCTTTTAACAAAATGTGGTTTCTTCTAACATGTTTTTAGTGTTTCAACTACAAAAGTTTCATATAAACATGTATGTGAATCTTCCTTTCTTACTCATTATTATCTCATTTCAACATTAGAATCCATTATTCACTTTCGACATTGATACATTCCTTAATTATAAACCTGTAACAGTTCAAATTCATTGTTAGTAGATATGGTCCGTTTTGACCCGTCACTTATTGTCGTCAGACTCACGATTTTAAAACGTGTTTGCTAGGAAGAGATTTCCACACCCTTATAAGAAATGTTTCGTTCCCCTTTCTAACCAATGTGGGATCAGAGCTAAACACCGAGTGGTGTGCCAGCGAGCAACCCTTGTAAGAAATGTTTCGTTCCCTTTTCTAACCAATGTGGAATCAGAGCTAAACACCGAGCAGTGTGCCAGCAAGGACGTTGACGCCTCGAAGGGGTGGATTGTGAGATCCCCACATCGGTAGGAGAGGAGAACGAAACATTTCTCATAAGGGTATGGAAACATCTCCCTAACAAACACGTTTTAAAATCGTAAGACTGACTTGAACCAAATTGGACAACAACGAATTAGTAAGTATATTTCATACCTACAACTTTAAGAGATTGTTCTTTTTAGACTTTCTCTTTCGAGGTTTCCACGTCCTTATAAATGATGGTTTGTTCTCTTCTCGAACAAATGTGTGACATCACAAGTACACTCATAATGTTCTCTTTAATCATGTGTCTTATTTTTAAATTGTCAGGAGCATCAATGAATCGAGGACAAGAAGAAACTTGGGATATTTGTCATGTAGAACAGGAAACCCAATAGACGACTGCTGGAGATGCGACCCCAATTGGGAAACCAACCGAAAGCGCTTAGCCGACTGCGCCATTGGGTTTGGCAAAAACGCCATCGGCGGCAGAAACGGCCGCTTCTACGTCGTCACAGACGCCGGCGACGACGACCCTCTCAACCCCAGACCAGGAACCCTCCGCCACGCCGTCATCCAAAACGAGCCCTTATGGATCATCTTCAAGCGTGACATGGTAATCCAACTCAGACAAGAACTAGTGATGAACTCGTTCAAGACCATCGACGGGCGTGGGGCCAGCGTGCATGTGGCAGGTGGGCCATGCATCACCATCCACTACGCCACAAACATCATAATCCACGGCATCCACATACATGACTGTAAGAGAGGGGGCAATGGTAACATACGGGACTCCCCACAGCACTCCGGGTGGTGGACTATATCGGACGGTGATGGAGTGTCGATCTTTGGTGGCAAGAATATTTGGGTTGACCATTGTTCTTTGTCTAACTGTAATGATGGGTTGATCGACGCGATTCATGGTTCGACGGCGATCACGATTTCGAATAATTACATGACTCATCATGATAAAGTGATGCTGTTGGGACATAGTGACTCTTACACTCAAGACAAGAATATGCAAGTTACTATTGCCTTCAACCATTTTGGTGAGGGCCTTGTTCAACGAATGCCCAGGTAAATCAATCGCTCAAGTCTATCACTAGCAGATATGGTTCTATTTGAGCTTTCTACACCTTTCTAAATAATGCTTCGTTCCTTCCCTTCCCAACCGTAGTATCTTACAATCCACTTCTTTGGAGTGTCCTGACATACCATCCAGTGGCCGGCTCTGATATAATTTGTAACAGCCCAAACTCACAGTTAGCAGACATTTTGGACAGCCACAAATGGTATGAGAGTCAGACACCGGGTGGTGTGAACTCTGGGTCCCGAAGAGAGTGAATGATGGGATCTCACATCTATTGGAAAGGAGAATGAAACATTCTTTGTAAGAGTGTAGAAACCAGTAACGACCCATACCCACCGTTAGCCAATATTGTCTTCTTTAGCTCGTTTTAAAACGTGTCTGCTAGGTTTCCACACAAGGGTGGTCTGTTCTCCTCTCCAACCGACAACACAAAACCTCTTTGAGAGCCATAATTAAAAAGGGAAAATTTTAAAAAGACAATATCGGCCCCGAGGCTGCACAATTCAACTCAACTTTAAAAGCATCAAAATTTTGATGCGGGTATTTTTGTTTCCATCTAAAAATGGTGTCTTTGAATTGTGGGAATGATTTTGCAGATGCAGGCATGGGTATTTCCATGTGGTGAACAACGATTACACCCACTGGGAAATGTACGCAATTGGAGGGAGTGCTTCACCGACTATATACAGTCAAGGCAACAGATTTTTGGCGCCGGACGTCCGATACCGAAAGGAGGTGACAAAGCACGAGGACGCGCCGGAGAGTGAGTGGCGTCACTGGAACTGGCGGTCAGAGGGCGACATGATGTTGAACGGCGCCTATTTTCGCCAGTCCGGCGCCGGCGCTGCGTCCAGCTACGCAAGAGCTTACAGTCTGAGCGCTAGACCCTCCTCCCTCGTTGGTTCTATCACGGTCACAGCCGGCGCCCTCAACTGCCGCAGAGGCTCCCGTTGCTAGTTAGTATTAACAGGAAAGGTCATATAACTGCAAGTACCGAAAATGAAGGAAGAAAAGGCCTTCGTTTATTAAGAGCAGTTGAATTATTATTAGTTTATGAAGATCTTAATTTTTGTGTTGGTTTAATTTCCATCCAACTTTTTGGTTTGCCAAAGCAGAGTATTTGGTTAAACTCGGATGTTTGTGATTGTGAAAGGTAATGGGAAAAGTATGAGGAATTATGTTTTTGAGTCACCAATCACGCTCACAAAAACGGAATGAGTACTATATATTTTACCCCGTCAATCATGCTACATGACTGCTTTAGAGTCGAGCTACTTATTCCTTAACCTAGTTAATTTGGTCAAGCCCTATAACGAGCAGCAATAGTATGGAGCAACAGAGACGGTTGCCTCGTGGCCAACTCTCAAGAGCTAGAGTTTGACGTAGAGCTTTATACTTGTCCACCATTGTAACGACCCAAGCTCACTGCTAGCAGATATTGTCCTTTTTGGGCTTTCTCTTTCAAGCTTCCCGTCAAGGCTTTAAGCCACGTCTACTAGGAAAAGATTTCCATACCTTTATAAATGGTGTTTCGTTCTCCTCCCCAACCAATGCGGGATAACAATCCACCCCTTCAGGGCCCAGCGTCCTCGTTGACACTCGTTCATTTCTCCAATTGATGTAGGACCCCCTCCAAATCCACCCCCTCCAGGGCCCAACATCCTTACTGGCACACCACCTCGTGTCTACCCCCTTCAGGGAACAACCTCCTCGCTGGCACATTGCCTGGTGTCTGGCTCTAATACAATTTGTAATGACCTAAGCTCACCATGAGCAGATATTGTCCTTTATAAATGCATCAGATAAGGAAAGGTTTCCACACCCTTATAAAGGGTGTTTCGTTCTCCTCCCCAAATCATTCTACATATTTTTATAGGTCATCAACATGTGAAGGCAAAAATTTAACCTTCTAAACTTTTTTTTATCAACGTGATAATTTATAAATTCTTTGGTTTATATTTAAATTAACATGAACAGCATTATTTCATTGTTAATTTGATGTATTGCACTCTTTAAGTAAATTGTATATTGTGTGACCTTACTATTACGTGTGATACAAGAGAGAATAGACATGCGAATGAACCATTCAGTTAGAATATCATATTGGGAACAACTGGAGCATGTTGAGAACCCCACGGTTACAAGATATTTATGTTTATTCCAATGAAAGAAAGAAAGCAAAATGTCACCAAAACATGACGTTATCTTAATGAAAAATATCGACGTAGGAGTGTGACTATGCGACAGGTGCATCTACGAGCCTGTAGCACTATGGAAGGAAGGAAGAATGAAGAAAATGAAGGACTAGGTAGGATCCGGTGGGAAGAACGAATAAGTCAATGGGTGTGTAAATTACTCGAAAATTATTCAATAACGGAGCGTTATGATATGATTATCTTCTTAAAATTGTGAAATATAAAATTTAAATTAGTGTGGGCCCGAGCAATTCTCCCAAAGTAGATACTGAAATAATTTGTCCATAGGGGAAGGAGTGAGAAAGCAACCATCCTGTGAATACTATTACTCCAAAGATCTACAAATATTTATCATGTATGAAGGAAATTACAAAAACACCCTCCTACATTCTATCCACAGGCACAAAGGGAAATCTGGATAACAATACAAAATCCACTAGGACACCCAATGGCGTGAGTCCACGTGTGAAGAGACCAAATGCATCACATCATGTTTTAATATCAGATGGCTGACTCATCTCCATTCAACCCATTTCCTTTTCGCTTTTTCCCCAAAGTGGGTCCGTCTCTTATTGCCTCCATGGCTTCGCTTTTTCTTCCCCCTTTTTTAAACCTATTTTGATTACCCAAAAGAGCTAAATTTGTTTGTCCATCAGTTTTTTGGACTCAGGAGGCTCAGAAATGTGCATCACCAACACAATCAACAACGAAAACACCCACGATTCTGTAATCCAACGCCCAATTCGTAAATCCAGAACCAAGACAAGACGACCCAAATTTCTCAGCCTTCGATCGGAGCTTATTTCGCCCAGAATTTCCCAAATTTCCCCGATGACACACGACCCATCAGCGCCGCCGCCGCAGAAACAGCTTACTCTGTTTCCCCTGCATCCGGAGAATTTGGTGGAGGACAGAGAGGAGAACGTGGCGTTGATGTTCGAGAACGACGTCGTGAGCAGCTGCTGCAGCTTAGGGAGTTTCCTTCCGACTTACCACAACGACATGTCGTCAGAGGAAGAGTCGCGTAATTTAGCAGAGGAGGCGGCGCTTGTACGGACGGCGATGAGGAGTCGGGAGAGGGAAGCAGGGGCAGAGGAGAAGTGGGTTTGTTATTCGGAGGTAGTGGAGAAGAAGGAGGAGCCGTCATGGACGGCAGCGGCGGCGGCGGCGGAGGAGGAGGAGGAGGAGGTAGAGGAAGTGACGAGCACGGCGACAAAGAAGAAGAAGAAGAAGAAGAAGGTGGAGATGAGGGGGAAACAGCTGAGGTTGAAGCTTGATTACGAGGGGATTTTGAACGCTTGGTCGGATAAAGCTCCGCTTTTTATCAATGGAGAATCGCCGCAGACTGTGCCGAATCTTCACGATGATGGGAGTGCTTGGGAGGAGAATCGGAGATCAAAAATGGGGAGCGAAGGAGGAGGGAATGTGTGGAAAGTGCCGGAGATTGGATGGAAGGTGGGTGGCAGAGAGGCAAGTGTCTTGAGATACAAAGAGAAAAGGCAGAGCAGGCTGTTCTCCAAGCGCATTCGGTATCAAGTTAGAAAACTCAATGCTGAAAAACGTCCAAGAATGAAGGTACTTTCAACTCATATCATATACACATTATTGCATCATTTCCATCTATCTAATTCAAACCAAATATTACATTGAATTCATTAAGGTGTATACCTTTAATAAAATGATTAGGTGTTTGAATTTATCAATCTTATATCCGTTTATATCAATGTCAGTTATATCGATTCACAACAAATAGTTTAGTAGCTAGAATCGGGTGGTTTGTGGATTAATTTTGAAATTTTTTATAGGTTAAAATGGGTGCAATTCATTAGTTGGTTTTCTAGCATTTTCCAATTTGATTATTAAGAATGTATATGAATGAACCAAGATCACATTAGAACGAGAGTGATCTTGAACATAGAATGACTAAAAAAAACTTACAAAATTGATGATCAAGTTGCACGTTCCTTTTTAATGCCTTAAAACGATGTTGGAATGACTCGTATTGATCTGTGGAGGATAATTTTCTCTCTTAAAAGTGAAAAGTATATAAAGCAACTGAGATGTCACTAAGTATTAGATTTTGAATTCTGATCCAAATTTGAATGGTTACCAAAAAGATATTAATTAAATTTTTTTATTTACTGATTTGTTATTATTTCTTTTTTTTATATATATTTGATTAAAAACTGATTCCTTTTATCGAAGTATGAATGGACGTTCCTCTCCCTCTCTCTTGCAGGGTCGCTTTGTGAAAAGAAACTGAGAAGGTTTAGAGACATTATTTGGAGATAAGGGCATTCAGGGAAATGTCTTCTCTTTTCTTTATTTTCCACAATTTCAATGTCTTTTTTCCCCCTCTTAAAGATCATGTTGCTTTAAGAAAATATAATTAATGTTAAATAAAAATGTTTATCAAGAAAAAGTATCAACTAGAAATGAATATCCGTACACGTTAAAAAAAAAAAAAACTATTAAAGATATTCAAAATTTTTATGTTCTATGTCTGAATTATGAGGTCGAAAATTAATAACACCACCACTGATTACTCTATAGAGATGCCGACCACCTCAGCTCAATAATGGAGTGACTACTCCATCTTTGAATTTATACATGTTCCAGCAATTTTAGATATTATGTTTCTATTATTGATAATCATACTCGTTATTTTTTAGACTGATTTCTTGTGAAATAAAAAAAAAAAACTACCAAAATAATTTTATTTAATGAAAAAATAAAAAATAAAAAACGAAAATAAAAATCATTGTTTCATAAATTAGATTGATTTTGAACCCATTTTACAAAAAATGGAATAATGATTAAAGAAAAAAAAAAGAAGGATATTAATTAATTATTGATCTGAATTTAACTTTTTATGAGAGCAATTTAGAAATAGGGAAAAGGCATTAAATAAAAATATCAGCGTTATTTTATGACAGCTGACAACTTTAACCCCCGCACGCGTGCACGTGTGGGTCACTGCAAATTACACTCACAACAAACAAAACTAAAAGCATTACTTATTTTTAATCATTAAATAAAAGAAAAGAACTTATTTTAAATTTACTTCCCTTTTGCTTAAGATTTAATTCTTTAAATTTTATATTAAGTTGTTGGGTTTAATATTATTATTAAAAACCAACACTAAACTAATAGCTAACCGTTCGTTACAACTAAAGATGTCTACGTGGCCAAGCGGGACGAGGAAGTCTTACCCACCACTGTCGTCGTTTCCTATTTAATTACTCATCATTGCAAAAAAATTCATTTATTTTTACAAGAATCACGTTCTTCCGCTCATCCTTCACTTCTCGTTTAAATAGAAATTTACTGTGAGATCTCACATTAGTTGGAGAGAAGAACGAATCATTTCTTATAACGATGTAAAAACCTTTCCTTAACAGACATATTTTAAAACCGTGATGACGATATGTAACGTACCAAAGTAGACAATATCTACTAGTAGTGGGTTTGGGTTGTTACACATGGTATTAGAGTTAGACACCGAGCAGTGTGCTAACGAGGGAGTGGATTGTGAGATCCCACATCAATGGGAGAGTAGAACAAAACATTCTTTATAAACATGTGAAAATTTCTTCCTAATAGACATATTTAGAGTATAGTTTGATTATTTGTTAATTTGTAATACTTTATTGATTCGAACATAATTTAGTGATTAAACACATCTACTCGTTACAAAGTCGGAGATCCAAATGTTTACGATTGTTGTACTAAACAAATTTTAATATCAAAGAGGTGGGTATAGGAGATCTGGAGATGCATTCTTTCAGAATCAATCTTTGTTTGGATACAAAAATCAACAAACATAATGACTCAGACAAGCATCAACACATTACAGACAAGCCATTTTGTATTAAAGCTCAAACATTATACTGAAAAACCACCACAATTCTTACAAAACAAAACAAAACAAAAGGCCTTCAAGGACGAACAGTTTGGCATTTTCCTGAGGGTTAGTGGTATCAAAAACATGCTTGATTTTTGATTAATTAATGCTAATTGTATTATTATTATACACTAATTGGCTGCCCTGCTGCCAAGCCATGAAGCTTCCTGTCTTTGATCGCTGGATCTTGGAGAAGAAGAACTTTGTCTTTGTCTCCCACTCCAACCATGTGTAGATACTCACCGTCCTCTCTCTCTTTCCCTTTGAATAGCAATCTTTGCTCTCTTGGTTCTAACCCACTCACCATTGATAGAATCATCTTCAATTCCCCTGACAAAATCACACAATTAAACCCATCAATTACTTTATAATCCAAATTGAAATTCAAACAAAACCCATCAAATTTTTCAACAAAGTTTTGATTTTTATTGAAATTCAAACAAAACCCATCAAATTTTCCACCAAAGTTTTGGTTTTTATTGAAATTCAAACAAAACCCATCTAATTTTCCATGAAAGTTTTGATTTTTAGTAGAGCGGAGTTGGTTAGGAATTATGTATCTCTACTGGGGTATGATATTGTCAACTTTAAACATAAGCTTTTGTGGCTTTGCTTTGAGCTACCACAAAAGGCCTCGTAACCGTGAAAATGTATTTCTAAATCCATGTTCATTCCGTAAATTAGTTAAACGTGGAATTGAAACTTACCAAAAGTTGAGGTGGGTTCGACCGAAATGTGATGGAATTGCGAGACAGTTGAGACTCTAATAGTGATTGTTTCTTCTCCGGTCAAAGTGGATCCACCGGCGATCTCTCTCCTCTGCACCAGCATGCCTCCGGGCCGGAGCTCCCACTTGATTTCCGTCAGGCTGCCATCGTCCTCGTCGTGGTCATCGGCGACTTTGATCTTGTTGTTGCAGCTGCTGACAAAGCTTCCAAACCTGAAAGTGGAGCTTCTGCAGAACCTCTTTGACCTGAGCTTCATCATCTTTGCTTCTTTATCCTTTTGCTCTCAACTCAAAAAGGATGGAGATGGTGAAGGTTATTATATAATGGGAGATAACACATGTGACGACAAACGAAGAGCAAAAAAAAGAAGAATTGATTAAAGTATCATATTTTCTATTTAATTCTTAGATTTTTTTTTAAAAATGTTTTCAAATGCCCATGTTACACCAACATTAACAATTCGCTTATTATAACAAACGGCAATCAACCAAAAGATTAAAGGTTCGAATTCTCGTATCTTCATTGTTTTCAAATACCCATGTTACATATATCATCAAACAAAAGGTCAAAAGCTCGACTTCTAACAGTCCAAGCTCACTACTAGTAAATGTTGTTTTCTTTACGTTTTCTCTTTTGACTTTCTCCCTCGAGTTCTTAAAACGTGTTTGCTAAGAAGACGTTTGCACACACTAACCGATAGGAGATCTCACACGAATTCTTACATCACTGTGGAGAATATTACATAAAGATAAAGTTGGACGACCCAAATCATGGAGTTTGAAATGACGAAACACCGATAAGAAGAGATAAGAAGAGACGATGTGGACGGCGAAGAGATTGATAAGCAAATGACGAATGAGAAAACGACATGTGGAGTTTTGATAGAGGAATATAGAGCTGATTTCATGGAGAGTGAAAGCAGCACATGGGGGTGGGTACTTGGGAACACGCTTGCTTGATTAGCGGGCCATATGTAAATCACTTTTGGGGTTTGATAGCTCTTGTTTACAACCCAAACAACCCTCATGTATTGGGGTCTCAAAATATATTTTAGGTCAAGGTTAGGAAACCCGTCTTTTTTAGTGTTTGAATTCGAACCATCGCTATCAGGAAGAAGCATAAACAAATATCGATTACTATTGAATTATGCTTATGTTAGAAGCACTTGTTTGAGCTGAACAGCTCAAAAGAAGACGGGATTCTGAATTTCTTTCTTGTAGCATACTCGATAGTTTTTTATATCTAAACCAAACCCGAATTTAGGGGTTTTGTGTGAGTTGTACATACAATATAATTAGTTGTAGCATAAAGTTGGGTTTTTGGTATAATTAGGTGATTTTGATTTGTTTATAAAGGTGGTTGGGTAATGAAAAGGGTATCAACCCATGTGAGATAGGAAAGCAAAAAACTCCACTTTCTTTCACCTTTAAAGACAATCACCAAGTCCACTCCTATGTCTTTACTTGCAACCTTCAAAATCTATATAGCTTTTACAATCAATGCTTTGTTCTTCATAATTACAACCAACGTCAAGTAATTTTCAAGCCAACTTCACATATTCATACCCTAACTAACAACTTTCTAGATGTTATATATATAATTGTAAAACTGTAAAACGAAGCATTCGTTATAAGGGTATGGAAATCTCTCTCTAGCAGACTCGTTTTAAGAACTTTGAGGGAAAACTCTAAAGGGAAAGCACAAAGAGGACAATATCTGTTAGTAGTGGACTTGGGCTGTTACAAAAACCCACCCACCGTTCTTGTGAGTTTATTAAGGACGTGATTTATCTTGTGTTTGAAGGAGAATTGATGGGATGAAATTTAGAAAAGAAGTTTGTTTAAGGTTTGAGGACAAAAAGGAGAGGGAGGAAGAGCTTAAAAGAGCATGGGATGTTTTGTTTTTTAAGGAAAAGGAGAAGAGATGATGAGATTTGAGGCCCCATATGTTGGGATTGTGGGCAATACTTTTTGCAGCTACTACCTCCATCATTGTTAACACCAAAATTACAACACTAAATGCCTTAATCATCATCAATTATTGTCCTTCTCCTTGCTTGTTCTTCAATTTTTTTAAGCTAAGAACAACCAAAGAACATTCGGTGGTGGAACGACATGAATGTTGTCCATTGCCTCACACACTCAAAACCCTTTTTCGTTACGATATCAGTAACGATATGAATATTAAGAAATATGATTATATGAAGTAATAATTAAAGCATTAATTGAGAGACAAAAATCTGGAGATACCTAAGAATATATGGAGAGAAGAAATGAAATAAAAACAAGATTCTGAAAAACACATGAACATAATTGAAATTTGGAAAGAGAGCACGTGTATGAAAAAATGGAAGAACAAGAAGGATCCCATTTTACGTATCCCATAAGATTTGGTTGTTGTTGTTTGATTATGATTATAGCTTTTTTGTTTCTGTTTTCAAAAGATTTTTGGCGTTCTTCAGCTACTGGGGAAGATGGGTTTTGGGTTCGAAATTGTTTAGTAAAATGTGTATCTTTCTTGGAATCTACGGTTGAATGCAATTGTTTTCATGATGGATCTGTCATTTTGTGTTCTTCTTTGGATCTTATTGTGATCCATCATAGATGTGTTCATTAAATATTAATTACAATATTTCTTTTATGATACGAGATTTTAAGTACATAAAAAAAAAGACCGTTTTTGCATTTTTCAGAAAATAAATTTGGCATTTTGTGTATTATATATTATAATATATAGTTTAACTATTGGAGATTTGAATATCTATACTATATGTTATACAGACGAAGGAAA